GCTTTCTGTATCCTGAAGAACCTTTAGATCTTCTGTGTCCAGAGGAGGATTCTGACCTTCTGTATCTGGATGAGGATTCATTCTGATTTTCTATACTTTTGGGATTCCTGAACTTTCTTTGCCTCTGCTTCCACAGTTGGTTCACCCTTCTGGAGAGGAGATACAGTTCATCTTCTTCTGATGAGGATCCGTCAGAGGTTTCTTCTACAGCCTGCAAAACTTTGGAGTCAGATTTTATGTTAGATTTTAAAGCTAATGGCTTACCTTGCTTTTGAGGTTCGTCTTCTTCTAGCTCTATCTCGTGACTTATGAGGGAGCTGACAAGTTCCTCCAGAGAGATTTTGTTGAGATCTTTGGCTAGCTTAAGAGCTGTGACCATTGGCCTCCATTGTTTTGGCAAGCTTCTGATGATCTTTTTAACGTGATCAGTAGTAGAATACCCTTTGTCAAGAACTTTTAGACCAACAACAAGAATTTGAAATCTTGAAAACATAGTTTTTATTGATTCACTATCTTCCATCTTGAATGCCTCATACTTCTGAATGAGCGCAAAGGCTTTGGTTTCTTTGACTTTAATGTTGCCTTCATGCGTCATTCTCAGAGAATCAAACATGTTCTTGGCAGTTTCTCTGTTTGATATTTTCTCATATTCTGAATATGAGATGGAGCTGAGGAGAATTGTTCTGGCCTTGTGGTGGTTTCTGAATTCACGCTTTTGCTGATCAGACATCATTTTCATGTCTATCTTCTAACCACGTCCATCCACTAGATGCGTGTATCCATCAGTCACCATGTCCCACAGATCAGCATCATGGGCCAGAAAGAAACTCTTAATTCTGTCTTTCCAGTAGTCAAAGTTCTCTCCATCAAAGACTGGAGGTTTGCCACTGAATCTGTCCCTGTCTTCATTGTTATCATTGCTGATGTTCTGGCTTGGTCCCGCCATAGTGTTTTTCTGACGCTGGATCTTGTACTGACACGGTTAAGTGTTTAAGCTCAGAACCAGGCGCTCTGATACCAATTGAAGATGTGAAAAACACAAGAAGGGGGTTGAATTGAAAAACTTGGATCAAAAGCAGATTAATGACACAGTATTTTTATCCTGGTTCGTTTGATCTCAAACTACTCCAGTCCACCCGTCAAGGTGATTTCGCCTCTCTCCAACGAGGTCTTAATCCACTAATCTCAAAAGATTACAACAACTACTTTAACAACTGTTAAAGTCTTCTTGAGTACAACCACAATCCGGTTAATCTCAAGGAACTTCTTTTACAATATAATTGAACAAAATGTGTTGTCGTTTTCTAACAAAACAGTTTATCACAACTGTGATAAATTACACAGATTAAGCTTAGAATAAGGATTGAATTTGCTTGAGCTTGAACATGCGTGGTTTAGAATTCTTAGCAAATTGTTGTGTGCGTACGTACGTGCTTCTTTTTGCAAGCAGACTTATTTATATAGGCAAGGAAAAGACGTTGTCCATAAAGCAAGTTTAATGTTAATAACACACTTTCCTTTTGGAGAAGATCTTGTCTGAAGAAAGTATTTGGCATTAATTCTGTCTTGAATGTTCAGTAACGCTTCAGAGTCTTCTTTCCTTAATTGCTGATGACGCTTCAGAATATTGATGACTTGGTTGATATGTTCTAGTTCAGAGTCAGAGTTTACTTGATTAAGCGCAGATTATGGTCATCAATCTTTAGCGTACAATCTGATTGTTTCAACGTGTGTTCTGATTTCTTCAACGTGTAGCACTTATGGCTGATCTTCTGATGCTGATTTTGATCAGAACTTCTGCATACATAAAACATATTTTTAAGGAGCATATTGTTCTATATATATTCTTTGTATTTATTTATTCTTTGTATTTGTTATCATCAAAACTCTAACCAAGGGTTGTAGAATCAAACTATGTTCTAACAATAAAGACTCGCTAGGTTGACTGGCCTAGGTAAAAATAAGAGCATCTCGGAGAACCAAAAGGGTTTGGGCAAAAATTAGGGATAAAACAAAAAATATTTGTACACCCGGCAAGTCGAAAACTTGAAAAGGTGGCTTGGGTAAAAAAGGGTATCCCGGTGGACTGAAAACCCGAAAGGGCGGTCCAGCCAAAAGTTAGGGATTGGAAGCGTATCACTATGTCCCATTGGATCACCTTGCGACCAGACTTTAGTATCAACTATCAAGCTCAAATGGCACCGATCAATCCAGTCAGCTTCGGACGAGTAGCAAAATGATGAGACGCTCGAAGACATAGCGGCAATAGCAGAATTGAAACTCAATGGGATTATTACACATAGCTATTTTTCTTCTCTTTGTGCACTACTTTGTATAGTCTTCACTCTCACGGTGGCGTTCTCCTACTAGAACGTCAGACTCTTTGTACACAACGCCTGTTATAGGCAAACTTCAGAAATTAATACAAGTCATTTTTACAAAACCATTTGTTTTTCTTTTTCTGTTTTGTTTTGCAAAAACTTCCAATGATTTATTCTTGAAATATGCATTGAGTGGATCCTTGAAAGCCATATATTTATGTTAAATCTAAATTCTTAACAATAAATTGTGACTTATCAAGGGATTTAGTAGCTCGTTTGAGTTTGTAAAGTTTTAATTACTATTATGTTAATATTAACCAATCTTGGGAATGAGTAATCATATAGGACAATAATTTTAATTAGCAATGTCAAACAAGGATTATAAGGCCTAAATTAGACTCATCCATGACATTTTTTAACCAATAATTTTACCAGCCTTAATTTTAGGTATTAAATATCTTAAACCAACTAAGAAACCTTTTAATTCAACTTATTCAATGATAATTTAATATAATTTTAGTCTTTGTGTTCGATACATAATGGTACTCACCACAATATTATTTGCAACAATCTGATACACTTGTTAATCACATCATTGCACTTCGACCATTAGGAGATTTTAATAAAATAGTTTTATCATGGATTGAATGAGGAAGTTCAAATTCATATCACCTGATATGGCTATGAGAGAACTTTGCTTCAGGTTACCTCCATGTTTATGAGATCTTGATGCCTAGGTAAGTATTACCAATCCCCCACGGTGAACACCAACGTTCATGTATGAACTTACGAGATGGATCACTTAAATAATTGATGTGAGTTTCGTGCTACTAGTAATTTTGTTGTTATATTTTCTCCTACTTCTAGCTCAACTTCTTCTCTAAATACATAAAGTGTACCTACAAAAGAACCCTTTATGCTTAAATTGATGATGACTATTTTAGAAAATGTACCAAATATGTCGTCGAGTAATAAATTTATAAATAGAGACCACATTCACATGGATTGTTATAACTTCAACGCAACCATAATAATTATTTTGGATCAGGACCAAAATTATGTCTGAATTGTGATGATGGACTTTTGATGCGGTACTGCAAGCCTCTGATGCGGTTAAACACAGGAATGAACCTGCAAAGTTAGTACTCTAATGCCCAAGGAACTGAATGAGTCCAAAAATAGGTAAAGTGAAGTATGAAAAAGATGTGTGTACCTTAAGCTTAATGCACGTATGGAAATATATATACCTGTGTAGAATAGTCATTGGGTCTTATTTTAGAAGATCATATGAGTTTTCTGCATTTGGGTCTTTGGCCGACCCAAAACAGTTGTCCCCAAGACTTATTGTGACTTGTAAAACGAGAAGTATTCCATAATACGTGTCTTACAATGTCGAGTTGATTGTGGTATGATCGTGGGGAGTGGGGAACATGAGTATTAAATTCATTTCTTATCACTGGAAAATTTTGCATGAATTTTAAACACGTGGCCCTAGGCTAGCAATTTAGGGCATGAAGCTTCCCTATAGGGTGCTTGAGTGCTGCATTTAGTATCGTTGTATTCCCGAGATGTAATCAGTCTGTTGTTTTTCGTTTTCTCTTTTTCTTTCCGTTTGGGTTGTTGCTTGCCTAGTTTGCTTTTTCCTATATAAGGGTTATTTCACTTTCTGAATGAAATTCCGCTTCCATCACTAATTGAAGTAGCCTTGATATTTGAGAAACCATCCTCTCCTCTTCAAACTTTGGGAAATCTTGGTTACGGTGCCCCTTTCCTTGTCGAAGCGGTGTGTCCTTTGAGTTGTCCCTAATATTTCTCTTCCTTTGCTTACCTTCAATCTTTTGACCCATCTTCGTCTCAGGTACCATTTCCAACCCTTAACTTCTATTTTATAATTTTCATTCCTTTATCTTTACAATGACCAATATAAAATACAATATTGCAAATTCAAATATACATATAGACAAGTCTTATAATTCTCTCTATTTAATTATAAGTTTTTTTTTAATTTATAATTTATAAATAATATTACAAAAATTGATATTAAAATTTTACAATAAAATCTTACAAAGACATAGACTAGTAATTGCTAGGAAATTAAATTAATAATTATGTTAACAATAGTCTTAACACATTCATCTCAACTGCATTTTTAGTTGATCACAAAATTCAAATGAATCTCACATTATATATATATATATATATATATATATATATATATATATATATATATATATATATATATATATATATATATATATATATATATATATATATATATATATATATATATATATATATATATATATATATATATATATATATATATATATATATATATATATATATATATATATATATATATATATATATATATATATATATATATATATATATTGAGAATAGTGTGTTATCTGAAATTTAACATTTATTTATTCAAACAATTTGTCTACATTTGAAAACAGCTCAACAAAGTTCCAACACTCTCACCAATAAAATAAGCTTTCCTTTGTCTTTGCCTTTCTTCTCTCAAATAACCAGCTAGCCTCCTCTCTCTATCTGTTCTAGCTGTAGAACAACATATTCCAAACCTCTCTCAATCTATCACCCTTTTCCTTCTCCTTCACCATCCTATTTCTGCACCACTCCTTACTAATCTTTTACACACACAAAAAAAACATCATGGGAGCTTCTCAAATGGGGTTCCTCTTCTTTTGTTCTATCCTCTTTCTTTCTGCTTCTGCTTCATCAAGAAATCTACCTATTATAGCCTTTGATGAAGGGTACACACCCTTGTTTGGTGACAATAACGTCTTTGTTCATAAAGATGGCAAATCGGTTCATCTTTCACTTGATGAAAGAACAGGTTTGTTTGAGAATCTTTATTGGGTTGTCTGTTTATTTTTATATGGTGATTTGTGGATAAAGTATTAATCTTTATTGTTTTTTCCATATTTGGGTTGTGTTTGCAGGTTCTGGATTTGTGTCTCATGATCTTTACCTTCATGGGTTTTTCAGTGCTTCCATTAAGTTACCTGCTGATTATACTGCTGGTGTTGTGGTTGCTTTTTATGTGAGTTTTTGCTTCAAATTTGTTTCTTAAATTAAATTTTAATATCTTTGTTTTCTTTTTCTACAAATCTGGTTATGAAGCTTTTTGGTCTATTAATTAGTCTAAAAAGGTCTCAGGGTTTAAACATTCATGTGTTGAAGTTGAAGGCATGCATGTGATTTTTTTTTGTAAAATAGTAATTAATGATACAATTTTCAGTTTTATTTTCCTCAACCACATGTTCATTGATGGTGACAAAAATTTAGGATTTCATACTTTTTTTTTTATGAAATAATTTAATTTAGTTTGAACCAGAAACGTCACTGTTTTTCAATCTTTGTGTTTTAGAAACATAGAAATAGAAATAACCTTAAAAAAAAGAAATAATGTTTCATCATATATTTTTGTATCTGCAGATGTCAAATGGTGACATGTATGAGAAGAACCATGATGAAATAGACTTTGAATTTTTGGGTAACATTAGAGGCAAAGATTGGAGGATTCAGACCAATGTTTATGGTAATGGAAGTACTAGCATTGGCAGAGAGGAAAGATTTGGTCTCTGGTTTGATCCTGCTGAAGATTTTCATCAATACAGTATTCTCTGGACAGATTCTCGTATCATGTAACTAACTCTCTTTATCTCTTAAGTTGTTTTCATAAGTTCTCTGAACGATGTTAACTATTACGACGATTTAATGTTAATAGCCTTTTACATGTTTTTGTTTTCCCTTGTACAGATTTTATGTTGACAACATTCCTATACGAGAAGTTACGCAAACGGAATCCATGGGAGGAGATTTCCCCTCTAAGCCAATGACTCTATACGCGACAATATGGGATGCATCAGATTGGGCTACTAATGGCGGAAAGTACAGGGTGAATTACAAGTATGCACCTTACGTCGCTAAATTCTCCGACTTTGTTTTACACGGTTGTGCTGTCGATCCGATTGAACATGTAGCCAACTGTGACACAGCTCAAAGTTCTGAATCCGTTCCTTCCGGTGTTACACCAGTACAAAGACTCAAAATGGAGAGTTTCAGAAAGAAGCACATGACATACTCTTACTGTTACGATAAAATCAGATACAAAGCTCCTCCGTCCGAGTGTGCCATCAATCCTCGAGAAGCCGATCGACTAAGAAGATTCGACCCTGTCACATTTGGTAGCGGCCGACATCGTCATGGAAAACGACACCATCCCAGCAGAGGAAGCCAGACAGAAGCTGTTTCGTTTTAAGAAAACTCCGCGCAGCGACATTAAACAACCTGGGTTAATTTTTCTTTTCCTCTCTGGTGTATAGAAAGAGAGGAACATATAATTCATGAGTATGATAATTTTGATATGGTATGTATGTGTATAGTTCATACCTTAGTTTCCCAGGCATTTTGTGATTTATGTTGTGCTTTATTATTATTAAATCTGTTGATTCTGTAATTCAATAAATTATTTAGCATGAGTTATTATTATTATTTAATGAAGTTAGGTATGACTTATTTCTTTTGAAGTGATTCAACTTTAACACTATTGTTTTATTCTTTTGTCTAACATAGTATTAATATCCATACATGTCTGGTTGCTAGGAGTTTTATGTGGTCATTTATAGTTTTGTCAGTTTATGTACATTTTTTACATTCATTTTAATGGAATCCAATGTGAAACTGAAGAATTAATCAATGCAGTGGCTTGACCAAAGTTTGCATTGCATGTCTTAATTATTATGGTAGTTAATTGTTTCTGACCTACACCGTTGTAAAGTAGTAAAGCCAATTATAAGTGCTTATTATTGATATTACAATTTTAAGAAAATGGAATCTAAATGTTAGCAGAAAACGACATATACATGAATGAATCTATTGTTATTTGAAGCATAACTCTCACACAAACCTAAGCATGTCGATATTACAATTACAACAAATGAACTTCACTAAACGTGTGGTGTGATGGAGGAATCAATTGTCAACTGTAGTGAAGAAGTTTTCACCTTAAATCTTTGTGGTTTGAAATAGTGGTGAGTTTGTTTTTTCTCTTTCGGCTGCTACTTTACTTCCAACTATGGACAGCTTGGTTTTTCAAATGGAAAAGATTCTTATAAAGCATTTTTTGTTTTTCGAAAAACTTCTCGTGAAACTTACCACTAGATACAAATTTCATGCTACAAGAATCACATTCATAACTTACTTTCAAAGCAAAATAACATTATATTTGTTCCTCCTACAGCATGGTACAGGTCCAACACATTGAAGCGTAATACTTACCTTAAAACTGTTTTTAAAAGGATTAATGTTAAAATGGTGATTCTTGAGAGTTTGTTTTTAGTAAAATTACTAAATTTATGTTTACGATTTATTTTTGGGTTGATCTAAAATATAAAATTATTTATTATATAATACGAGTTGAGATCCTCCATTTGCTAAAATAAAATAGAGGATTCTATTTATAAGAGAGATAAACAATTCCAAATGAATGATTAGTGTGTACATCCTGTATTTTGAGACAAAATTAGTAAGAAAGACAAAATTAGTAAGAAAGAAGAAGGGGCTCTAATACTTCTTTCGGTTCTAAAAGATTTGAGAAACAAATGAGTTAACACTACCAAACTTATTAAGATTAGGAATACACAATGAGTCAGATTGGACGGTTTTGAGTCTAAAAGTCACATTCAATTCAAATCGCGATTGATTTAATATGGTCAATTTCCGTCCATTTTTTAAGAAATCGCTCTCTAAATTTCATGGGGTGTTTCTCCACCATGGTGAAAAATCACAATTGTTCATAGAATGCAGAGATACATCTCCAGACGCACCTTTTTTTACACACTCTTCAGCGTAAACTGGCGTGCCGCCCATATTTTTCCAAAATTTGTCAGAAGATGCATCTTCGTATCAACATTAGGGTGAGTCTGAAGATGAATCTCTATAACAATCCTTGATTCAAAATTCAATGAGTTTTATAGAGATGCATCTCCGGACCCGTTTAATTCATATACCCGTGTCAGACTCTCCCCCCTTCCTTCTTCATTTGTTGCAAACTCACTAAAAACCCCATTTGAGCTTGTGATCAAGTTTCTTCAAGTCCATTTTTTAAGGTTCAACATTACTAGTGACTCATTACATTCAATCCCAGGTCATTCCACTAACTCCGTTCAAGCTTTTCATCCACAAATCTTAATCGACAAGTTTTTTCATTTCATTTCTTTTTGTGAGATTTGATGAATGTAATAGGTAAAATAGTTTGTTTAAGATGCATTCCGACACTTTAAAACAAGTGTTTTAACTAATGTGTCAACACAAAAATGTGATGTTAGGACATATGTTATAACATCACTTGCTGACCGAAAAATACTTTTGCCAGAACAGAAACAATGCAGAATTAAATTGCAGAAGGTAAAAGAACACAATCAATTGTTAATCGAGTTCGGTGCAACACCGCCTACTCTAAGGGCTACCAAGCCAGAGAGGAAATCCACTATATAATATTAGTTAAAAGCCTAAACAATTCCAGTTTACAACTTTTCTCCTAATCACTACCCCGTGCAACTTCTACCTAGAAACCTCTTAGATATGAGAACCTCTCACTTCCTACTAATCACCTCAATGATAAAAACCAGTTACAATTCCAGTAACTAGTATCAAAATAAAAGATTACACTTCCAATCCACAATACTTAGTTAAGACTCTTAACTAACAATAATACTCAACCATTTGCTTAAAAGCTCATGGGTGAGAACAATAGCTTGATAAACAAGCAGCAATCAGTCAACTCAATGCATCAAAAGATACATTACTGACATACAAAAAACACAAACACAAAGAACTTGAAAGACTCCCAAAACCCTAAACCCTTGTGTTGCACCCACGGTTTTTTATTGTGAATGCTTGCTATTTTAGGTCTAACAAGTCCTTATTTGTAGACTCATGCAGTATGGACTTGGACTCTTCAAATAGATCTAATTTTCACGTTTAAAAATACCTTCAAAATCTTCTCATAAAAATAGGAACAAATTTTTTTAAATCTTCCTAAAAAGTCTCCAAGATTCTTTTTAAGAAATCCAATTAAATATGCACTTTGTTCCTAAATAATCTCCTTGACTTGTGCATAATGATGAGGTATATCCAAAAAGGTCTCATCAAATCAAATTCAATCTGCTAAGAGATATATAACAGCAACGCCTACTGTACACAGACCAAGATGTCATGACATTTGTCTTCGACATCTGTCTAAAACTCATAACAGCTAAATTATTTTAACATTTGATGAAGATGTTATAACATCTTGCTCAACATCAGTATAGAACCATGTTTTACCAAAATTTAGCCAATTATAAAATTATGGAACTAACAGTTACTTTCGAAATAGGTAGCTGGTATAGACATGCATTCCCACTTGATTGGAGTTTAGGGCATCAATTGGGTTTCTTCCATTTATATAACTCGTGAGTTTATCCAGAGATGCAGCTCCGAATTTTGTCTGAACTAGTTTACGGGGATGTATTTCAGAATTTTATCTAACTGCATTGTAATGTGATTTTCTATTATTACAACTACAATGACTGAAAACTACCAGGGCAAATTGAGGCTCAACCGTGTGTCCCAACACGCGTCTGTACAACGTGAGAGGGTGAGGACCAGGCCTACGAGACTACAAATTAATGCTACCTCGTTTGATGGGTAAGTGATGAATCAAGGTTGATGTTCACAACCATTTACTTCTCGGAGTCGCTTGTCACAGACATCTACTTCATGGGGCCACATGTCTTGTTCTTATGCAGCCCTAAAGGCCCTGGAGCTTATGAAGGCAATCAGGAGGAATCTGCTGCTGATGTGGATGCACCTATAGATGATTATCCAGAAGGATAATTTGACACCTCTTTATTCATTTCTATGGAGACCATGCAGTTAGGCATGTCTAGGAAGGAGATATATATATTTATTTACTTTTGCAATACATCTATTTCATACTAATTTATTCATGACCGGTGGTGATATATTTATTTTTGTTATTCTATATGATTGGCTACTTTATGCAAAACAATATGGAGTATACAAAATGTATTGGTGAAAAAAGGACACATGTGAGACACAATATTCTAGCATGTGTGCAACATGTAGCCCTTGTCAGCAGGTCAATGTTGTTGTTGTTTTGAGCGAAATTTGTGATTGTATTTCAATCATTGTTGTTATCTTTTAGCAATCTGATTAGTTAGATTTGTTTGATAATTTAATAAAATCAAATTTAAATTATGAGGATTTAAATTTGAATTCTAATCAAATCAAATCTTTTAGCGAAGCTGTTTTGAAAAAACAAATCTTAACCAAATCTCCACCATATCAAGTGATTGCAATTCAAATACCAATTGGAGAAAAAGCCTAACTATGTAATTGATATTTAAATAGAATAATTTCAACTTTAAAGGCCACGAGATTAATTGAAGATCTTTGTGTTAGGATTTATAGTTTTAGTCCTTGTTTGTTGTGTTGCTTGTACACCATGCTAATGCCTACATTTATATCATAAGGCATAGTAGTTGGTTTGTTTAGTTGAGTTGTAATTCAAAATTTATCATTATGGTTATTGATGTTGATCACTAGGGTTAATGATATAGAAAAAGTGAGAGGAGTTCTCATATTTAGGAGAATTCCTAAATAGAAAGACACTAGGGTAGAATTTGTAGGTTTGAAGAAATACAAGAATTGGGGGGTTGAATTAGGTTTAAATAATTAAAGATTTTTCGAACACCCAAACATAAACTGGTCAGTGGGAATAAAGATAAAGAGTACGTGATTTTATCCTAGTTCACTGTTAACTAGGCTACCTCCAGTCCACACTATGCAGGTGATTTTTTCTTATTGAAATTCTGGTACTCTCAAATTAGATGTTAAGACAGATGTTACAACACCAAAATACAATGTCAGGACAAATGTTAAGACATCATGTTCCTAATACACCAATTTACATAAGATATGAATTATGCAGAAAGTAAATTACAGAACATAAATAACACAGTCGATTGTTAATCCGGTTCAGTGCAACATCACCTACTCTGGGGGCATCCAAGTCAGGAAGGAAATCCACTATGATAATATTACTTCAAAGATAAACAATCCTAGTTTACAACTTATCACCTAATCACTATCTTATGCAACTTCAACCTAGGAACCTCTTAGATATGAGAACCCCCTCTCATTTCCCACAGTCACCTCATTGACAATAACAAAAGACTAGAACATAAGATCACA